AGTCTGAGGAGGAGGGGCCGGGTGAAAAAAACCCTCTCCAATATTTTGAATTTGGACTGCAATACCTAGTTCAACCACTCGGTGTCAATCCTACATACAGCACCTTTAATGAATAGTCCAATTTTTGTTGTATATGAGGTTTGCACAGATCAGTGTAAGTTTATAGTGTAAGTGCCTCACTTCGGAAAATATAACGGTTAACCATTAAGATGACAACAACCCAGCGCGCCAATACTTCGTTAACTGCATCATTGATAAGTTGATCTCGGTGCAGTGGTTCTGTGCTGTGATAGCGCTGAGGGTCCAGACGGCATCAGACCCTCATTCATGCCGCGTGTCGCAGCTGATTGAGTAGGACTGGGTCCCAGCTGCAGCAGTAGGTTATATGTGCCAGTCTCTGACAGTCCCCTTCTCATTCCAAGCCCACCGCGCTGCGCCATCGCTCCGCCTCGCCTGCGTGAGGAGATCAGGCCGCCACGCTGGGCAGGTGAACTCTGCACAGGAGCGCCGCTAAACTGCACAGCCTGCGAGGCCATCAGACAGGCTTGTAATTTGCGTTTGGCACGCCAGCGGGCCACTCGAAGACGAGTCTTTTCCCTTCGTTCCCTTACCAAGTCTGCAAGTAGAGCCTGCGGTAGAGTCTGCTCCAGCTCACGCCGTCGGTTTGTACTACGGCCTCGGTTCGTGTTGCGGCCTCTCAGAGTCCGGCTGAGTTTGTATTCTTCATACAGATTCAGGTCCTTACGTCTCGGACGCACCTGCTTTTGGACCCCTGCCACTGACAGCTGAGAGTCGTCATCTAAATGCGGCCAGGGAAGAGAGAGATTACATAGATTAATAAAAGTATTTAATATTTTAACCAAGTATTGAGCCATTTCACAGAAGTAGAACGTAATGGTTTAATAATGGTTAACTAAAACCATAAAACAAATTAATTGAAATTAAATATTTTAAAAACATTTTATTGCAAACTAAAACTATTACTAAAACCATTTAAAAAAATTAATTGAAATTAAATATTTTAAAAACATTTTATTGCAGCTAGTTGCCAAAGCAATACTTCCAATTTACTTTTATTTATTTATTTTTACTAAAATAACTAACATTGAAATAAAAATTAATTTAAAAAAAACATATAGGAATATTAAAAAACGTAAAAAACCAAAAAATGTCAACTTTAAAATAAAATATAAAAAACTATAATAGTATCACTGATACTTAAAATAGCTTGGCACATAAGTGCTCAAATATTTGACCCAGTCCAACCAAAGCCCATCTCAAAACTACTGTGATTTCAAGAAAAACCAAAAAAGGCAAACTGGACTGAAACACCCCTAAACATTATAATATACACACACAGTGAAATATTACAGAAGCCTTCATTCATTTGAACACATTAATAAACAGGCAGTGTTTACTCTGTCACAGGGTGGCACAAAAGATCACTCTAAAGCTTTTTGTATGAAACTCATGAACTGACAGATCGGTTGCGATTCCGTGCATGACGCAGCTTCGGCGTGTGGTGAAAACATGGTTTCTAATGTTACACATGTCAGCTTTTTCCTCTCCTCAAAACGGTTTTGGCTGCTCACTGCAACATTACATCCTGTCAGTTTCCTGATAATCTTGAGTATCTTCTTATCAATGTTTGCTGAGCAAGATTCATTTACACTATAGCCAAGATATCTAGATTTTTAGAATACATTTGGTTTTTCACTGTAACCTGACATGTAATTTATAACTTTTTTCATATTTTATGACATCATATTAATTTAAGGATTACATGTAATATTTGTACTTTTCACACTGCACGACAATTTAAAAGTAGTTAAAGCAAAAGGGCCCTTAAAATGGTTCCAAAAAAATCTCAAAACTATACAAATTTTTACTTAAAATCCTGATTTTGATTCCGAAAAATTTAACTGGCGATGCACTGAGAAACAAAAAAGTTGTCACTGTAAAATGCACACTAAAATGTACAGTTTAGGTACTTATATTTACACTTTATGTATTAATGTGTACTTTTAAGATACTATTAAGCACAAAAACAAAAACTCTCAGGAATGGATGCCCTGTGTGCCTGAGCATTTGAGGTGGGGAAAAAAAATAAAATAATAATAATTATTGTATATATATATATATATAT